AGCCTTCCAAGTAGTTGGAACTACAGGCGTGCACTACCATGCCCGGCTAATTTTTTATTTATTGTAGAGATGAGGTCTCGCCAAGTTGCCCACGCGGGTCTCGAACCAGTAGGCTCAGGCAATCCATTCACCCCGGCCTCCCAAAGTGCTGGGATTACAGGCTGAGCCACCGAGCCTAGCCTATAATACTGTATTTTTACTGTATCTTTCCATGTTTAGATATGGAAGTAATATTCACCATCATGTTACAATTGTCTACAGTATGCAGTACAGTAGTGTACTGTACAGTTTTATAGCCTTGGAGCAAGTGGCTATACCATATAGCCTAGATGCTAGTAGGTCAGCCAGCTATGATGTATAAGTATTACTCTATAATGTTGTACAATCAAGAAATCGCCTATTGATGCATTTGTCAGAGTGTGTGTAGCCCCATCGTTAAGTGACATCAGACCGTATTATAAAGAATTATCCATGTCACACTGTCTTCCATTAGTATAGCTTACTGAAATTTGCATTTTAAAAAATTATTTAGCCGGGCTCCGTGGCTCAGCCTGTAGTCCCGCGCCTTTGGAAGGCTGAGGTGAGTCGATTGCCTGGGCCCGCAGGTTCAAGACCCACCTGGGCAACTTGGTGAGACCTCATCTCTACAATAAATCAAAATGAGCCGGGCGTGGTAGCGCACACCTGTAATTCGGCTACTCGGAAGGCTGAAGTGGAAGGATCGCCAGAGCCCAGCGGGTTGAGGCTGCGATGACCGGGAGTGGCCACTGCACTCCAGCCTGGGCGACAGAGTGAGACTCCAACTCAAAAAAAAAAAAAAAGTTTTCTGGTATTAAATCTTAGTACCTTCCACGTCGCTGGAACTACAGGTGCGCACCACCACACCTGGCTAATTTTTTGAATTATTGTAGAGATGAGGTCTCGCCAAGTTGCCCAGGCGGGTCACTTGATTTGATTTTTCTCTCTCTGACAAAAATAAAATGCATATTCTAAGTTAAACTTTGGATTCTCTTACTAAAGCTATTTGTTGAGATGTATTATATAGTCTATCAAAGGGGTGGGAAGGGTACTGCTATTTGCTGAATGAATACCTACTATGATCTAGGAAATGTGTTAAGTGTTTTCACATGGTATCTCCTTCAATCCTTCCAACGACTCTTAAAGAATGTTAAACGGGCTCGGTGGATCAGTCTGTAATCCCGCACCTTTGGGAGGCTGAGGTGAGTGGATTGCCTGAGCCTGTGGGTTCGAGACCCGCCTGGGCAACTTGGCGAGACCTCATCTCTACAATAATTCAAAAAATTAGCCAGGTGTGGTGGTGCGCACCTGTAGTTCCAGCGACGTGGAAGACTGAGCGGAAGGATCGCTGGAGCCCAGCAGGTCAAGCGGCCACTGCACTCCAGTCTGGGCGACAGAGTGAGACTCCAACTCAAAAAAAAAAAAAAGCTGGGCTCGGTGGCTCAGCCTGTAATCCCGCACCTTTGGGAGGCTGAGGTGAGTGGATTGCCTGAGACCGCGGGTTCGAGACCCGCCTAGGCAACTTGGTGATACCTCATCTCTATAATAAATCAAAATGAGCCGGGCGTGGTAGCGCATGCCTGTAATTCCGGCTACTCGGAAGGCCGAGGCGGAAGGATCGCCGGAGCCCAGGAGGTCAAGGCTGTGGTGGCCGGGAGCGGCCACTGCACTCCAGTCTGGGTGACAGAGTGAGACTCCAACTCAAAAAAAAAAAAGAATGGTATTAGCGTCCTTAATTTACAGATTGAAAAAAAAGAACTCAGAGTTAAATAATTCCCAAGCGTCAACCAGTTTGTAGCAGAGTCAATCGCCCATGTCAGTTTGACTCTAGAGCCCACATAGTTTCCAACATACGCCCCTTTCTCTTATAAAGTAAGAAACAAATAAATGTGATTATTTTTTCAGAGTCCGCTTGGACCAAACTAAAATGCCAAATTTAGAATCATCTCTCAGGTAGGATTTTACCTGTGAAAAAATAAGGGGATTAGAATTAACATTAAGTATCAGAAATCAAAATGGAAATTTTTGAGCCTTTGGTTCCCAAACTTTCTATAACTCCATTTCCTAAGAATTCCTCAAGTTAAAAACATTTAGAGCACTTCTTGTGACCGAAGCTTGTGCCTTAAAAACCAGCTTCTATAACCTCTAAAATGGGGTTTGAATCCTGCAATTCTGGTCTTCATAACCTTACTGAAATTCTCCTATCAATTCTAACCAAATTTCAGGAGTACTATACTTACCACTTAGGCAAATCCTGAATAATAACCATATAAGAATGACTAAAGCAATACAAAAATACATACATACCAAGAAAACAGACAGTTGAGATAATTTAAAGCAATATTAAGTCAGAAAAATGACAGCAGGATCTACAGTCTGGGCAAACAGGAAGGAATGTGAGGCCCTCATCAGTCTGAGACAAAATTGTGTGATGGCATTAACAGATTAGTGCTTGAAGGGCTAGTTACCTTCATTACCAATAGCAACCACATGCACTTAGCCATTGTACCAAAAATGTTTGGGGCCAATAAGGGTATAGATTTAAATATAAAAGTAAACAATTTCTTAGTTTGCCAAAGATTCATTAGCATAACCATACAACACAATTCTACCTTTTTGCAAATGCTTTGGAAAACATAGATCAGATTTCATGTATTATTCAGAAGAGTCAGTGTAGGTGAGTGAAAAAACTGCGTGTCTGGGTGGTATTCAGAAAAACTGGATGTTCTAGTCCTAGCTCTACTCTTAAATTATTCATATAAATTATTGATATAAATTATAAACTACCCTTAAATTATTCATGTAAATTATTCATATAAAATATAAATTATTTATATTCAAAATATAACTTAGCTATATTTTGGGACTTTTCATTCTTTAACTCTGAAATGAGGAATTGGATTCATCTGCTATTCTTTAAGAGTCCTTCTAGGTAAATAACGTCATAATTCTAAGGACTTTTGGTAGGGAACATATGAAGATATTCAAGAAGGAACGAGGTTACAGTTAAGAAAACTAGTTTTGTTGACAAAATGAGTTGTGTGAAATTATGTGGCTAGGAATAAAGACAAAGGAATGCATCCTTGACCAGACTTTAGGAGCAAAAAATTTTAAATGAGTAGAATGCTTTTTGACTGGGTACTGAGATGATGTTGCTCTATATAAAGTACGCACACAACTTATAGACTCTTAATTTGATGGATACATTTATATATCCTTAGTTTTAATCAAAACATCACCATGTATCAATACTTTAAAGAAATTCATTAGAGGAAAATTATATAAAAGTTATATTTAATAGGATCTATATATATATTTGAAAATGAAAATCTCATTAAATGAAACTAGAATCTTTTTCCAAAATTTAGTGTTAAGCTTGAAATTTTACTCATAAATTTTATATGAAATGTATGTCCAATTCCTAAATTGCTTTCTTCAAAACCATAAACATAAAAAATGCTCAATTAGTAAATTAGAATCTCAAATTAAGTTTATATTTAAAAGTAAGTCCTGTATTTTAAACACAGTATGGTTTAACATTTTAAAATTACTATATACAGTATAATTACCAGAAACACTAGCAACATGCTCTATTGATATATATCTGTACCTTACCTGAAAACTGATTGAAAAAACTTTCACCAATTGAAAGGTTTGACCCATATTATGAAATATTTGTCAATATATAGTTTATGCTGAATAAAATTAATTTTGGTTTGCTGAATCAGCACATTCCTTTTGCAGATACATTACGTAACTTTCAATACATTTAACTGAATTACCAGAAGTTGTATGCAGAGCTGCCTAGAAGTAGGACTAAGAATCATCCACAGGTTTTCCTCTTCAAAAAACGAGCATTTATTTACATTTTTAAATCTATCCTTTATTAACATTGTAAATAAACAAATATTATATCCTTTGAGTTAGAAAATAATATTATAGCTTTTGAATTTGAACATAATGACAAAGTGGAGAGACACTAGGGACAATATAAAGGATGCATCAGTCTTGCTCAGCTAAAGGCAAAGTCCTATTACAATGACCTACAGATAGCTCTTGACAGGACAGTATTCAGTATGAGTCTGTTTAAACATTTTAAAATTCCCAGATAAATTTAGATGTTAGCTGTTATGTTAAATTAAATACATTCAATTAAATCTAATATTAATATAACCAATATTAATAACTAAGGTGGTAGTTTGGTACGCCAAAATAAAATCTAAAGGGATTGGTAACTTTCATCTTAAATGACACAAATTACTAAAATAAATTAATTAGATCAAAGAAAGAGAGAGGTAAAGATTTTTAAAATATAATATAATGAAAGGAAGATCCAAGTATTCTTTAGCCTAAAACATTTTTCAGACCTAATAGGCATGACAAAACCTGTCTTCATTCCTTTCTATTCAGCTCAGCAAGTGCTTTTGAGCTCCAATAGTTAATCAGTTACCAGATTCCACAATCTTTGTTTTTCACACTCCTCAATTCTTGCTGTGAATTGTTCCTCTAATGTATTTAGGATTACTAAACAGACCAATACTTTTTCTTTTTCTTTTTTTGCCTTAAAAAGGCAATTATTATTTATCAACTATTAGATCTACCATATAAAATTGTTACTATATAGCAAGAACCCGTAAAACATAATAGTATGTTATCAAAGAAGTAGATGTTTTAAGATGAATCATTATTATGTGAAATTTACTTAGCAAAATTATCCAACCCAACTTTTTAAATTACCATAGTCATGCCCAACTTACAAAAAAGTATAGCAACAGAGTATTGTATACTAAATAACCTTTATCCAAACAAATCAATGAACATATATGCAAGTGCTATAAAACAATATCTAATCCGCTTTACAGAAAAGGAATAATACAGGTATTACCATGTTAAAAACAGGTATCTTCCTAAACATCATTTTTCAATTTAACTTTTCACAAATGCAAAGAGAATTGAGAAATATAAAAAATATATTAACTTACCCTTCAATTTATTTAGAAAAACCTCTGCTCTTGGTCAAAAGCAGCAGGTGTTTGCTCACTTTCCCTGAAGCTATGAACTTAAACATTAAATCAGTGGACGCCACCTCTCTGGACCACACTAGAGTTGCTAGACACTTCTGCTATGTGGAAGAGTTCTGCTGCATCTAAGCTCTATACTGTGTGCAATGGATAACCTAATATGCCTTTCATTTAACTGGCTGGGCAGGTTTCTGCCGTCTGTGGAACATGGAATCAAACCAGAATGTGTTGGCATAACAGGCCAGTCAAACCGGTTCTTCTGTAGATCCAGAACTCGTCCAACCAGTCTGTATCAAAGGCTAGCCTAACAAGCTACAGCGGCTCAGCTTGTACTGGGTGAGTTATCCCCACCTCCCGTCAACTCCCAACAAACGACTCAGAATGTTGTAGCCTCCAGCAAAATAATTCAGAGTTCTAGTGGGAGGAGTAGATCTGCATCAGGTCTAGCAAGAGTCCATTGTTATAAGTCTGTCTGGTAGATACATATAAGCAAGTGGTCTGTTATCCTCAGAGATAGATAATTTTTTGAAAAATGTATCTGAGAGGTAGAGGGAGGGAGAGAAACAAAGTGTTGACCACACATTTGCTTGGGTGTGTGATCTTCCTTGTTCTCAAATGATCCTCAAATCATTCCAGTGTACAAATGGAAAAACTCCTATGTGTGCACACAAGGGACAACTTAGAGAGGTTTTACCTTGGACAGTGAGCAGATCAATACAAAGTACTGATATCAACTATGTTTCAGGAACTGTGCCAGGTACTGGGTTCACAATATAAGTACAATTGGTAAGAGATGGGAGCAATGTCACAGCTCCCAATGAAGCATGTCCAGTAAGCTTTGAACAAAAGAAATGAGCTACACAGGATTACGTTTTGGTACAAATTGGTCTGTACTGACAGATGATGTGAGATTTGTTCTTACTCTTTCATAATACTTGGGAATTCAGAAACAATCTTTTCTATCTACTGATGCGGTGATTCCGAAACTTTTCTGCTTAAGAGCCATCTGAAGTGTTAAGAACACAGATTTCGGAGTCGGGCTCGGTGGCTCAGCCTGTAATCCCGCGCCTTTGGGAGGCTGAGGTGAGTGAATTGCCTGAGCCCGCGGGTTCGAGACCCGCCTCTACAGCGAGACCTCATCTCTACAATAAATAAAAAAATCAGCCGAATGTGGTAGTGCATGCCTGTAATTCTGGCTACTTGGAAGGCTGAGGTGGAAGGATCGCTAGAGCCCCGCAGGTCGAGGCTGCAGTGGCCGGGAGCGGCTACTGCACTCCAGTCTGGGCGACAGAGTGAGACTCCAACTCAAAAAAATAAAATAAAATAAAATAAATAAAAAAGAACACAAATTTCTGAGCCTCACTTCCAGAGATTCAGCAAGTCTGAGATGTGGCCTAAGCACTTCCAGTGATTCTGAGGCAGTTGTTCCAGGGACCATAAGCCCAGACTTCATGATCAGGTTCTTTTCTGTTTTTTTCTATGCCCGATTAAATAGAATACGTATGACCCCAAAGTTGTCATATTCTATTTGTGTCTCTGGTGTCTATAACACCAACTGACACTTAGAAAGTACTTTAAAAATGCTTATTAAGTAAATATCTACTCAGACTCAGCACCTACTAGATCCCTGGGGAATTACAACTAGTAATGAGTATGTGAAACAAACTACATTCAATATTATACTAATAAAAACAGAAATGGGAGCACAGAAAAGGGAGCAAGTATAACTATAAGTATGGGGAAAACTTCACAAGGGAGAATGGGTTTAGAAACTTTTCTTTTTTTAAACCGTGAACAAAGATTTCTATCTGCAGGATAACAAAAGGTTGGAGAAACAATAAAGATGATGCCTTTGATTTGATAATAAAAGTGTTAAGTATTTGAGGAAACCATGAACTCAAAACTTGGTAATAAGGTTATTTTCTAGAGCAGGAGTTAGCAGATTTTTTTCCATAAGGAATCAGAGGCTAAATACTTAAGAATTTGTGGGCTAGGTTGCCTCTGTCTCAACTATTCAACGTAAAATTATAGCACGAAAGCAGACATAGATAGTCAATGAATGGATGGGATATTGTGAAATAGACATTTGCTCTTCTATCCTGTTTCCTGGTGTGCGATTCCTAAATCCTTAAACTCTCCAAAGCGATGTCTTTTTGTATGCTAAGAGTTGGCTGGTGTTTGGCAGCCCCTAGGTAGCTTTAGGAAGGGGACTGGTCACCGGAAAAAACAAGGCAGGGTAAGAGAGTTGTAACTTTCAGCACATCCCCAATCTCCATGGGGGTTGGGGAAGAAGGGCTGAAGGTTAAGTTGATCATGAATGGCCAGTGGTTTAATCAGTCATGTTTATGTAAGACAGCTCCATAAAAACCCAAAGGACAGGGTTCTGAGAGCTTCCAGATGGCTGAACACATGAGGTTCCTGAAGGGTGGTATGCTGGGAAGGCATAGAAGCTCTGCCCTTCTACTCACATGCCTTGCCCTATGCACCTCTTCATTTATATCTTTTGTAATATCCTTTATGATAAACAGGCATATGGAAGTGTTTTCCTGAGTTTTGCAAGGCTCTCTAGCAAAGTCATTGTACCCTAGGAGGGGTCATGGATTTATAGCCAGTTGGTCAGAAGCACAGGTAGAACAACCTTGGACTTTACTGACATCTGAAGTGGGGGGCGGTCCTTTGGTACTGAGTACTCAACCTTTGGGATCGGATGCTATCTCCACAGAAATGGTGTCAGAACGGACTTGGAGGGTTCCCAGCTGGTATCTGCTGAGAACTGATTGCTTGCTTATGGGTTGGGAGAAATTCCTGCATATTCACTTACAGAAGTCTTCTATGTTGATTGTTGTTGAGTGAGAGAATGGAAAAGCACTTTGAATTTGAATGTGTGTGTGTGTTTTTCACTACACAAGTGTGACTGTGTTCTAATAAAATTTTACAAACAGGTGGCAGGCCAGATTTGGCTAGTGGGCCATAATTTGCTAGCTTCTGTTCTAGAGTGAAACCCCTTTCAAGTTATCAAGATTGCATAATTGGCCAGGAAAAATGTTTTCGAGTCAGAAATTCTCAGGTTCCATCCCAGTTGTTTCACACTAGCTTTGTCACCTGAATCAAGCATCAGTTTTATTTATAAAATGAGGATACAAATAATAGTACCTATCTCTTAGAGTTATTACAAGATTCAAATAATGTAATTTATGTGAAGGTATATCTAAAAATCTGGTACACAGTAAGGGCTTGGTAAAATGACAGCTAAAAATGAAACTAGTTTAACATGGTAGTTGAACATAGACACTTATTTCTATTATTCTTGAAATCCCACTAAAATGGCAATAAAGAACCAAAACTGCATTTCTTTTTTTTTTCCAAGAGTCTCACTGTATTGCCCAAGCTGGAATACAGTGGCACTATCATAGCCCACCACACCCTGGAACTCCTGGGCTCAAGTGGTCCTTCCATTTCAGCCTCCAGAGTAGCTGGGACTAAAGGTGCACACCACCACACCAGGCTAATTTTAAAATTTTTTTTGTAGGGAGAGGGTTTTGCTGTGTCGCCCAGGCTGGTCTCGAACTCCTGAGGTCAAGCAGTCCGCCTGCCTCGACCTCCCTAAGTGCTGGGATTACAGTCATAAGCCACTGCATGTGCCCAACATGAACTCTTTTTCTTTTTGTTTTGAGTTGGAGTCTCACTCTGTCACCCAGACTGGAGTGCAGTGGCCGCTCTCGGCCACTACAGCTTTGACCTGCTGGGCTCCAGTGATCCTTCTCCTCAGCCTTCCAAGTAACCAGAATTACAGGCGCGCGCTACCACGCCTGGCTAATTTTTGATTTATTGTAGAGATGAGGTCTCGCCAAGTTGCCCAGGCGGGTCTCGAACCCACGGACTCAGGTAATCCACTCACCCCAGCCTCCCAAAATGCAGGATTACAGGCTGAGTCACCGAGCCCAGCCCAACATGAACTCTTAAAGATCAGAAAGAATGAGAGAAGTAGCAAATAAGAGATATCCGTATATTTTTGGAGAAAGGAATGAGGATGAGCAGTGACTGACTTAGAATGGAAAAAGAGGATGTCTACCTGCCATAATCAAAGCAAGTCTCTCTCTGCTGCATTATGTTGGCAAACTTGAGAAACTGGGGACACAAGGTACCTCTGGATAGTCTTGGGGAGTGTAGTGGGCTTGGAATGGGAAAATAAGTTGAAAAATCTGCTTAACACTGCTTGCTCCATAGGCCCCTTCCCCAACTCAAAAGCCTGGATTCTTCAATCTTGACAGAAGATAAGTAGGACTTGTTGATTCAAGGTAGAAGAAATTGTCCCAGATTGGTTCTAGATTTGGGAATATCAGGCAAAGCTAAGGGTGAATGGTAAAGTACCACACTGAAACCAAAGAGCTTGTATTATTTTCCAATGGTGTCTGTAAAAAATTAATTTAATCTCAGTGGTTAAAAAACACAAATTTATCATCTTATAAATATAGGTCAGATGCCCCAAATGGGTCTCAAGGAGCTAAAATCGGGGTGTTAGCAGAGTTGCATTCGTTTTTGAAGGTTCTAGGGGAGAAAACCTGCTTTCTTGCCTTTTCCAGCTTCTAGCTGCTGTCCGTATTACTTGGCCCATGGCTTCCTTCTATCTTCAGGACCAGCAATGACTGGTTAAATCCTTCTCACATTGCATCATTCTGATCCTGACTCTCCTGCCCCTCCTGCTGCATTTAAATCCAGTTGGGTCATCGAAGTTAGTCTCCCTATTTTAAGATCAACTGATTAGCAACCTAAATTCCATCTGCTACCCAAATCCTCTTTTGCCACATAACATACTCACAAGTTCCTGGGGTTAGGATGTATGGATATCTTTGAGAGACCATTATCCTGCCTGCCAAAGAGATTAAGTCAGTCTATATATTAGTTGGTTATATTGGTGTGATACCCTGGTCTGTTTACTTGGCTTCTGAAAGCTAGTAACAAGGTTCATATTATTCATTCACAGTGTAGGAAACTGGAGAATTTCTCTGAGAAACTCTCAAGACCCTAATGCATTGATTATAAACTAGGACTGATTTTACCTCCCAGGAAACATTTGGCAATATTTGGAGAAATTTTTGACTGTAACAACTAGGGAGGTGGGCGGAGGTGTGCTATTGGCATCTAGTG